ACGAAGAGGAGGACGACGGCGTAGATTGGGAGTTGTATGGAGATGGTGAGCAGTAGGTAGTCGAATGGGACTTCGACTCTGGTAGGGGGTAATGAAACATTTGTCTTTCTGTTCTATTCCTTGTACTACTAGGGCCCATACTGGCGCCTGTCTTAGCGCTCACCCGCAGGTTGAACATTATGTAGCTTACATAATGGGGTCCGTGCGCACTTCGTGCCTGGTATCGTACCACTACGTTTCTTTCTTCACTAACACGACCACATAGACACGATGGTCCGTGCGCAGTCGGTACTTGTATAAGTAGTTGTACCATTAGTCGGTCGAACCCTAAGTTCGACCTGGTTATTCATTCAAGTCTCTGCTCCTCTTCGCTTGGGGTAGTGGTCATTCTCGACTTCCTCGCTCGATCTTCAGGACGACGCACTGTCCATAAGTCCTCGCTCGTCGTCTACGAGTCAGGCATCAATATAGGAGTGTAGACCGTTGTATCAGTGGCCTCCGATCGGCGACTGATGTGGCCCCTTATCCTCGAGGGTGGGCCATTCGAGTGCGCATTCGTCATCACGGGATCCCTAATGAGCAGAAAATTTGTATCAGGTTGTATAGTCTGTACTAAAGGGGAACCCACGCACCTTGCTGGAGGCAGAGTGCCATGCATAATACTCTTGTATAGAAATATCTCTCGCTAGTCGCTCGTCATTGTCTTGTAATAGGCCGGCTTGCGAGGGTGGCTCGGCTTGGCCATCTGTCTCTCGGAGTGATTCCAGTGCCTCGATGACATCGGCAATGGTTGCGCCTCCAATCATGAACTCGTCCACTGCAAACATAGTAGAGGATAAACTGATGGGCTCCAGATCAGCGCCCGTGGTTGCAGGTGAGTGTAGTTCCACGTACTGAGCAATTGTGGTTGAAAATTGGCAGTAGGGATAAGACGCTACGTTAAGCTGCTGTGCGCGGACGAATATGAAAGGATATGCGGAGACAACAATTGTCTGTATATCTGCAGGCTGTCAGCGCCTGTCGTGCTTCGCTGTCTTCGGACAAACGGGCTAGGCGGCGTGCAACTCCGCTCCACGATAATCGTACTTCTACATCCTCCGCCGCATGAGGTCGCCGTTTCCTGCTGGTCACAACGCGCAGCCGGCGCGATTTCAGAAGACATTGCTGTGTCGCCGCGAGGGCTAGTTTATAAGAATGTCCGTAATAATGCAGTACTATCGGACCAATTATACAGCCCACAAGTTCTGACAAGGAAGTAATGCTATCGAACTGTGCTGCGTATTCGCTGCTTTCTGCGAAGAACAATGTAAAGTAGATTGTTGTTTTCCCGGGTAAATGCATATGTATACTGTAGGTGTAAATGGCGTCCTTTCGCTATCTCGCAAATCTATCCACCATATCTCATGCTAATAAACTTGATCATATATTCTGCTGCCTGCAGTACGGATAGGATGCCCGTCGGCGGTATCGCAAGGCTCTGAAAATCGGATAGGCCATCTGCGTTGCGCACCATCTTCGCAGTTTTATTGACTGCGCAGCGATCATTAGTACCATGCTTTGCAGAAGCTGGCATCCATTTCAGGACATATTCTTCTCACGATGCACGCTCGCGGCTCTTGAAAGTACCGCCCCATTGGCCCTGGGCGTTCCCTGCGGGCTGGGCCCTCACACCAAGTCGACTCCTTGTCTGAGGAACGCTCCCGCTCTGCGCTTCGTGCGTTGGCGACATAACCAAAGAACTCTCCGGAGGGCAGTCAGCACCCCTCCTTGTCCTGCGAGTGATGCTATCAGCCCCACCCACCAGTAGAACGTTGCATGCGCTCTGGAAAATGAAATGACTTTTCTGGCTCGAGCTAAAGCATGTGCCTTCATTCCTCTCTCGGACGCATCCAAAAACGCAATGGTATCGATGTATTATTATTAGTTCCGTGACGGGCATCATTGTAGGGTCTCCTGAGACTGCAGGACTTACTCAAGGCTGCACAGGAAACAATGGTCGCGCATTCTGCGTCTAATCCGGATGGGCAAGCACAATGACAGGTCGGCTGGCCTACATACAGAGTCATTGCTATCCAGAAGGGACCTGTTTAAGAGTCAAGGTGGCCGTTGACAAGGCGTCCAGACGGATCACATAGGCCACGCAGCTTACTGGTGTGGAACCTGTCCGCGAGCTCAACACTCCTTGAGGCACCACCCACTTCCTATTTCGCTTTGAATGACTCATCAACCAGATCCTTCATGCAATCCATCTACCGTCCGTGAGGTGATGTCGTCCACAGCATCCGTCATCCTTCTTCCTGAAGCCCGCACAGCTGTACCATGCCGCCTCCGTCTACTCTATTCCCCATACTGTACGTGAGTTCCGTCTTCCTCACTCATCCATTAGCGCGCCGTTGATGCAAAGGTACACTGAATGTGCTCCATACCGCGCTCATCTGGCGCATGACTCTCATTTGTTAGATTTCTGGCAGGGATCTAGACTCAAGACGATAGGATTAATCGTGTTTGACCCGGCTTGTAGCCAGCAAACACGTAAGGAACAAAATACAGAACGATCGGTGTAGTGCCATACGCGACCATGTGATCTACTACCGCAAGTATCGACTATAATTTCCAACATAACACACCATCCATCACACCGCGCGACGGCTGGCAAGCTCACTTCTTACGCTAGACGACGGTGTGTGCGGTTCCCACAGATCGATATGAAGCTTATAATAATAATAATAATTTTTAAATACAGTTTTGTATCCGCTGGAGGGGATATGAAGCTTGGCGCATGGAGGTACTCAAATTAGTCCTTGAGACCGTGTAGGTATTGTAGAATCCGTGATGATGTTATTATACAGCTCGCCTTAAACCATTGGGATCACCAATACTACACCATAAAAGTATAGATATAATGGTTATGTTTCTGGTCGTCATCACATCACCAGCGCTCAGAAATGTGACATTTGGCAAGATCGTGTCGGCGAATCCGAGTGATTGGCCGAAATGCATCTGTGTATAACGTCTGCTATCTTTTGTACCCCTCTTCCCTCTTGTCGTTAGGTCGGTCATCGATGGTCGATTGCCGGTTTCAGCCACTCGGCACGTCATGTGCGTGTGCAAATAGACTCAAGCATCGCGTGTTTGAGACGCGTCGCGATTTGGCGCTAGCTGGGCTCGACATGAATACTCCTCACTTTCTCCATTTTTCGACTAGCTGACATGACATCTGCGGACAGAGAGCGCCACTCACTCGGATCATATGTACAAAGTTTCCAACTCGTCCCTCTCGAGGATAGCCACCAGACCTGCATGCATTGCTACCTTCTCAGACTATAAATCTCATCCATGTCTATGATCCCTTCAACAACATGACACTGGACCGCGAGCGTCGTGCTCACCGGAGTCATAGTCAGCCGCAACCTGCTCATCAAGCTCTGCAACATATATCCACGAATGAAATCTCTTGCAAGGCTGTTGATGGGTACTGGTGGCAGTGTCGCGGGCAACCAACATGTACTGTATTGCTGAATAAGGGGACCATCAAGGCATCACGTAAAACGTTTGTCCCTTGCGGTAGTTTGGCGTCATTCTTTGCACTGCTCTGATACGCTTTTGTTCTTTCATGGATCGCCATCGACATTGTGGTTTGATTGACGCTGCTGGGCGCTGTCACATTGTTCTAGTTCACAGGCAGATCCGACAACGGGCGTTCAAACTCTGATTAATCAGTGTCGCCAGGCTGCCCTGAAATCCCGAAAACGCTTCGAGGGTCCAGTCTCAGGCCATATTATATGTATGAGATAGACGGACAAGTGTTTTTCAAATACTTGCGCACTCCCTCGAGCTACTCTCGCCGCTATCGGTCTTGTACTCTACAATGCCCACTTTACCACGCATATTCAGAAGGCACAGCCACAAGAGCTTGAAAACGTCGAACTCTATCCATACGGAAGCTGTACTACCATTCCCTCTTCAGGGAGCTAACTCGAGCGTAGCGTTCGGGTCTGACTCTTCACCGCCTACTCGCGATGTCAAAGATCTGCATTGGCCTGACGCCTCTGGCCCGCAAGATACTCCTCCAAGTCCGCACACAATTGCAAAGCCTCCTGTGTCAAGCTCTGAAGACGACGATGACAGGGAAACCTCGGTGGCCATAGGGGCAGCTTATATTGAGCTGCAGAAACGAGTGCCGGATCACAGTTTACCGAAACGATTGAGCAAGTTAGGCGAGTGCCAGTGCCATAAGTTCCGATATCTTAAGCCCTGATTGAGCATGTACCAGAGGATATGGGTTCCGCCGTGGTAGGTCAGGAGAGCCTAATTACAACCCTCACTGCTCCTACGAAGGCAATCATGGATGAGAGTGGCGCGACTACGGCAATCAAGAATGCTGTTGGCGGGTTTGCTGAGACTCTTCCTGTGCTCATGAAGGCCTTGGACGATATTGGCAAAATTCATCCTGTCATTGAAGGTTCGATTCCCGCCCATGAAACATTGGGTGGGTGCGCTGACTGTATGGTCAGTTGCTGTACTTGCCTTTAAGGCTGTCTACACTCTCGAAATGAAACGACGGAATAATGACGCGAAGGTCATCGCTCTGCTTGTGGAGATGCGGGACATGATCGGGGTGCTACTTCAGTATGGTGTCTTTGCTTATTCTGTCGAGTATCGCTAATCGCTAGCTGCAACAGGCTCAAAAGCGTCAAAGATGAAGCGATCACTGGGCCCAAAGGCGTTACCATTGAGGCCAGGATGCAAGGGCTCATGAAACAGACAGCGAACGATATCCGGTCCTGCGGGAATGTGTGTGATGCTTACTCAAAGATGTCGCTACTCGCGAAAGTGCTCAAAGGTCCTCTCTGGGAGAATACATTTGCAAACTTCGTCTCCATGTTCTCGCAGCGGCGGGATGACATTGAATTTGCGCTGTCCATCCACATCGCTGGCAAAGTTGACGGGCTGCATGAGAAAGTAGATGACCTAGCACAGATCGTCGAGCGAAAGTACACTCTGGTATCTCGAATGCGCGACGTGACAAATGCTGACTTTGAGTCTTTTTCAGGACAGACATGATCTTGGAGTTCTTGAAGAACTATATTCCCCCAGAGCACACGGACGTGTGCAAGCAAATAGATCGCAGAGGGGGTCGCGAAGCTGTTCTCAAGAACGACGACGCGTTGCAGGAACTCGTATCCGCTCGGTTAGAACCCAACTCAAGCAGACCCAGCAATCAAGCTACCGCGCTTGCACGAAATGCGAAACATGAACTGGAGAGCCAGTTGATCGATCCCGCGTTCCAGATTCAGAATAATACCCAGTCCTTCGACAGGAAATTCGAGATGCAGCAGAGACAGATCCTCGAAGGTGTGGGCGAGATTGTGCACCGCGAGAGTGACCGTGTCATCGAAACAGTCACTTCAGGGCCACATGACAGGATTTTGGACAAAGTACGGCGCTCATTATTGCACGCGGTGAAATGACCACTGACATACATCCCAGGACTTGCATCAGATATGGAAAGAAATGGTACGCCGTTAGTACTTCGCTTGGGTACCACGTATCTCATAGAGCATACGAAGGGGTGGCGCGGAAGTGTCAAAGCGCGGCATTTTGTGTTGGCGTTGAGGGACTATGAGCAGGAGAGAAGAGAAGAGAAGATGAGGAAAGAAGCTACATTTCAAGTTGCACCTACTTTCGATCCTGACGCTTGGGCTTTCGATTGGATTACGGTGAAACGGCTGCAGGCGATTACGGAGGCTCTAGACGACGATGCCTCAGGATTCATTACCGTGACAGAGGCCAATAACTTTACCAGCTCAAGACCTGCGGACTGGAGGTAAGATCTACCACAATCCTCGTGAAGTTTGCTAACTCATGGTGAAGCCTGCCTCAATGGCTCGCATACTGGGCAATAGGTACGGCAAGGCCGTAGACGACATCCTCCGTGTTCTCATGATAGTTTGAAGGCTGGCAGATCTCAGCAACAATCTACCGGGACAAGATACACGAAATCTTCGAGAAGATGTTTACGATGCGGCCCCACCTCCACGAGGCCAATGTGTTGATGGTCGACAGTTATCTCAGCGCTATCTGGACGGACATCTGCGGCCTAACCACCTCTCTTGAACCCTTTTATGCAACTCCGCAGCTGCTGGAACGATTCCAGAGCTACATTGACGCGGAAGAAGAACGTGTCAAGAAGAACCTCGAGGCCATCAAATATCATATCGACGACTCGACCAGTCTTGCGCTTGTCACTGGTCCTGGGCGGATCGAAAAGGTGCGTCATCTTGTATACCCTCGCTACTGCCGATGACTGAAACCGTATGTAGTACTTGTTCCCACTCATTTATCTCCTACTGAAGCACGTCTACGATGTCTTTCGCATAGGGCGAAAGGAAATTGTCAATGATCGACACAATGTGGATGCCTACGATAACCAATGGACCATTAACCGGGCCGTTCATGATCGCATTGACGAGATGAAAGGTGATAGAGGGAAATTGATCAGATGCGACCAGTCGCTGATGGATTCTTCAGCGTCTCTCACGCACCAGAGGCTAGACCTCGCACATCACTTCGAGCATGCTTACAGTAAATTGGTACGTCGCAGGCCTCCTACAACCAGAATCAGGATCTTCACTGTTCAACAGTATCATTTAACATACTTGCGGCTGGAAGACCCGATTTCTACTGTGACGCGGAAGGCGATTCAAGCATTTCCTTACAAAGCCGTTACCTATGACGATACTGAAGAGGATAAGGACGTTCCGACAGCGGAAACCGTGCTCTCATATGCATATGACCAATCTCAGCTGTACGCAGGGGTACAAGCAATGGAAGATACTGCGACTGACGAGGATCGGAAAGCCACTGGAAAACTCAAGAACATGTCTGTAAATCTACCCGATACCGCTTGATAGATACTCTAACGTCAGCAGACTTGGCCGCTGGACCTTTTACAACTACACGGACACCAAATATCCGTTCTCAGTCATGTGGACCGTATTCATCCACACGTCGAATGCGGAGAGCACTCAATACGAAGCCCTCGTCTATATCCCAGACTCCAAAGTGGAGTTCAAGCTGGCCGGGGATATCGTCTCAGAGGCAGACGGCAAAGTGACATATCAATTCCGCCTCATCGTACCCTTCCATGGGATCTCGGTCAAGTATGATGGGACACTCAACGAAGACGGTAACATGCTGTCTGGAGAATATAGCCTTGGTGTCCTCCGTGCATTTTCCCTCTCGAGAATGCCCGCGGAAGTTTTGATTTGCCGGCCTTCGCCAATGGAACTGCAAAGCGACAAGATTCGAGCGCTCTGGCGTTTTGCGCTGACGGCAGTGCAAGAGCAGGTTGCGCGGCGTCGATATACATGGAAGTTCCTGGCGAAACGCAGAGATCTCCGTCATCGATACATGGACTTGGCGATACGGACACAGCTCGGGCGCCCGCTCAACGAGGCAGAAACCAAAGAATGGCGGAAATGCATGGGCGCCCTGACCCCGTTAGAAGCACTCATCTGTCACCACGTTATGGAACTGCGCAAACGCACGATATGCATCCACAAGTAAAGTGGTCCGGCTCGTGCATCGTCGTCGTATTTCTGACTATCGATCCAGAGGGGTATACTGCGACTCATGCGATGCGCACGATCAGGAGATAACGGGCGGGCGCATCGTCTGCCTCACCTGCGACAAGGATGGCGGTGAGTCTATCGACCTGTGCGAGGACTGCATCGGCACAGAGGTGGACTGTGCGAAGCGGCCCGATCTGGCCGTGCCGCATCTCTCGACACACGACTTGTACAAGCTGCGCTCGTTGGTACATCAGCGTGAGTTCCGCTCGATTGTAATCATGGCGCGTAACGCGCTGGAGAGGGCGCGGACGGCCTTCAAGGATGCGCAGGACGTGGCGCATGAACGGACTGAGGAGGGTGGGACGGGAGAGGCGGAGGATCGCTTGACCAAGATTGTTCAGGAGGACTTGACGTGCATAAAGTGCAAGGAACGCGTCACTCAGCCATGCTGGTACTGCATCGTCTGCGAAGGTACGGGGAGTCTCGTGATGTGTTTCTGGGCGTGAGCATCAGGCTGATCTGAGTGGTACAGATGCGGTCTTCGTGTGCATGAAATGCGATGCCGGAGGGGGCGTATCTGAGGGCAAGCATGCGAAAGCACATGGGCTTGTGCGGTGTCAAGAGGAGATCATTGAGAAAACGGAGGTTTCCGCGGAGGAGAAGTTGGCGTTGATGGTCACGAACAAACTTGCACAGGTCGACGGTCGGTTCGAGGAGGTGGACACGAGGCTTTCGCGAATAGAACAATTACTTCAAGCAATCGCGTTGAAGATGGGGGCGGGACAAGACGGATCGTCATGACAATGGGGCCGATGGTCGTATCGTGGTTTCCCTTTTCCACAGGAATGGAGTTCTGACGGACAGTGAGACGATTGCTTTTCTTTTCGCAGCGCCTTACGGATGAAATGTTTGAGTATTAAGACGCCAACTACCTGTTACTCCTCATATATATGGTATGTGCTGGGCTCGTAAACACCGGCTGGCGCGATGCACAAGAGGCGGGTCAAGCTTCCGGCTGAGCAGCGAGCACCAGTACCTGGTAACTCCATACATAATCTAGGCTGACTAGCCTCTCCTCCATGATACAAAATCAGGCTAGTTAGCCTATGCTATGCTGCCTACCCCATGTAGTGCGTCATACATTATACATAACATGTTCCTAATCTGGGTATCATACATAATCATACATGACAGGTTCCTAATCTGGATATGTCACATGACTTCTTTGAAACTATGTATACATGCCATATTTGGCCATTAGGTGCATTAGGTTGGGTTCGGTTAGGGTCAGGTTCGGGTAGGTTAGGTTGGGATTAGGTTAGGATTAGGTTAGGTTAGGTGTTAGGGTTAGGTGGTATATTTTGAAAGCACTGGCTTTGCTGCACTGGATATTCTAAAAGGGGGCCAATATTTAGAATGTTTGAATTTGAGGCCAGAAAATCAACATAGTGAGTCCTGAAATGTTGAAATAAGTGAAGTAGATTATTATAAATAGATCATGTGACCATCAAAACATCGGAGCATGTGACTGTAGGAAGCTCTGAGCATGTGACTAGAAAACTCGGAGCATGTGACTAAGAGCTACCGATTAAGGGCACAGTCATGTGATATGAAGACATGGCTAGCCATATTTTGTATTACGGTATTGTGGCTAATTAGCCATGATTATGCATTGAGGTGACAGGATGGCCTGGCATGACTGCTACTGGAGTCGTGAGTCAGATCTCCTGCCGTCGACAATTGTTGTCCAGTCTAACAGATGGGCAGATTGATATTAGATTATGGCTCAACTTGGGATGTTTGTGCCAGCAAGACAAGCACGGTAGGCACAACACCATAGTACAATAGCAGTCCTATATACTTATATACTGATAACTTAGGCTATGTCCTGTCGATGCTATTCTAACTCGCATGGGAGCCTACGACAACATATTTTCCAATGCAAGTACATTTAAAGTTGAGCTGGATGAATGGTGAGGATTGCCTATTTCTCTACATTTGATGCTGAGGTAGCTTTTAGCTGTAAGATTTTGCGAGACACCACGCCACAGTCGTTTGTGATCCTAGATGGTACGTGATGCTACCACTGTGTGGTGTGCACTCTGATGCAAATGGCGTCTGGGCATGTAGAATTGGGGAGAGGTACCTCGATGTATGTGAGTACACTTTTCATTTGACATAGCACCAACTCATGTATGCCATGCAGGACGGGATGGCTATTGCAGGGGTGAGTGGCCGTAGGATGGTGCTCGAACTCATTCAATAACTTTAAAATGTTCGTAGGCTGTGTTACACCAGCTGGCGATGCATACCTTGGCTCTCTCATTTTTTGTGATGCACTATGGTTCCTTGACCGATGATTTTGCATATCATCCCAATATTTGCAATATGCATATGGAAACAATGGTGGATGATGAGAAGCAGGTGATACAACGGTCTACACTCCTATATTGATGCCTGACTCGTAGACGACGAGCGAGGACTTATGGACAGTGCGTCGTCCTGAAGATCGAGCGAGGAAGTCGAGAATGACCACTACCCCAAGCGAAGAGGAGCAGAGACTTGAATGAATAACCAGGTCGAACTTAGGGTTCGACCGACTAATGGTACAACTACTTATACAAGTACCGACTGCGCACGGACCATCGTGTCTATGTGGTCGTGTTAGTGAAGAAAGAAACGTAGTGGTACGATACCAGGCACGAAGTGCGCACGGACCCCATTATGTAAGCTACATAATGTTCAACCTGCGGGTGAGCGCTAAGACAGGCGCCAGTATGGGCCCTAGTAGTACAAGGAATAGAACAGAAAGACAAATGTTTCATTACCCCCCTACCAGAGTCGAAGTCCCATTCGACTACCTACTGCTCACCATCTCCATACAACTCCCAATCTACGCCGTCGTCCTCCTCTTCGTCGAACCACTCCTTACGCGCGTTCC